ATTAAATTATTAAATTATATTTGGTAAATATAAAGTAATAAAGTGAATATAATTGTAAGTAATTGAATATAAATTATAGGTTATATCTACGTTATTATTTGCTTAATAAAATAAATATATATACATTTGCAATAATATGTAGACTTTCAAATATGACTACATATAACTAAAACATATAATTTATTGAATACATTCTACTGCACATATACAAAAGACTATTGGCCACAGTATTTATGCCCAGACAGATAGACCCTGACAACCATAATTTCGAACGTCGAGATTTCGATACGTCGGGATTTCGGTTGTCGGGCAACATATAATTTTATGAAAAATATTAATTAATAACACTGTTTTAGTGTTGCTTCGCGAACAATAAAAAAGTAAGTTCTATTGACAAGATGTTTTATTTTTTATATTATAATTAATTAAACAGTTATCTTAAATATAATATATTTTCTTTGGGTAGAAAGACCTATGGTCAATAGCCCTTTGTATCAGTTACTTTTTTTCAAATTATATATATTTATTTTGTTCTTTTTATTTCTGTATATGTCTTTTTGTACAACTGATGCAATAAATATTATTATTATTATTATTATTATATTTTCTTATTCTCATTTATGTATATTTACAATAATTGTCTTAATGATGCAAAATTTTATAGTTTTATATTTCAAATTTATATGTTTGTTCCAGAATACCACACTTTTAAGTCTATATTAAGTCATAATTGTTCTATTGATCGTTTGTATAACCTTATTTCAGACCAACCACTGTTGGTATTTATTTGCAACAATATATTATACAGCAATACCTTGAATAGTGCGACTTTGATCAGTGCAGTTACTATAGTCCGGTTTGAAAATTTTCAGAACAAAGTAAATTTTTAATTGAACAAAATAAAAATAATAATTAATGACCAAATTATATTTCATACGTAAATAATTTATACAGGCAAATCACTTTATGTGCTTTTTATTTTTATGCTGTTTAAAAGTTCCAGTTATATTATTAACTTTATAACTTTTATATCAATAAATAAAGGATATTTCAAGACAAGACAAATTTCTTTCAATGAAAAAAAAAATGCAACAATGGTTGTTATTTTAAAAAAACTGTGTATTGTTTAACGGCGTGTAACATGTGCTATATAAATGAGTTTATGTCAAGCGCGTTACATGATCAGGATCATATTTAAATCATTGATAGTGACTTTGGGGTGTTAGTTGATTACTGATACATATCGAATAATGATATTGCTTATTCTATAAACCTACCAACTTTTTTCTTATTATAAATTAATAGATTAGTAATTATGAAATACTTTTATAGTAAAGATTATAAAAATATATAGATCTTAAAAGAAAAAATCTACAGTAGAAATTGATGATCAAAGAAAAATATAAGTAAACAATTACTTAATTAATAATTTCTAGATTCTTTTTTTTTACTAATTTCTATACACCTTTAAATTTTATTTACATTATAGAATAGATAAACTAATTTGGACGACAAAATTTCGCAATTTTGAAATTATTGTGGATAATTTTAGTATTAAGATAATAAGATTAAAAAAATAAAATGTAAATTTTGACATTTGTCAATGAAAAGATCTTCAATTTACGTAAACCTGAATGAAAATGATAAATAAAATATTTTGTTAATAAATATATTTAAAATTAAATAAATAAATAAAATATAATAATAATGCGACATAGAGACAATATTATTTATTATATTCCTTACACATTTTTATTGGACCAAATTTAGGCCAAAATATCGACCTAGATCTATCCGCCGAGTTTAAAATAAATATATGGAATATATCAAAGTCACATTTCATAACAAAATGCCATTGGAAGTGCCCTTACTGAAAAGGTTGTTGTCTATCCCTGCTCTAGATAGTCAATATATTTAAAAGAACATATAATTAATAGGAAATAATGATTACTTCGCAAAGTGCGGATTCCGTCAATATCCCTCATTGATGAAAACTGCACTAATCGAACACTTTAAAACCGCATAAAAATTAACAGCCAAAAACAATACTTGACTGTTTAGATCAAGGTGGGCAATTCTAAAATGAACACGCCCAAAGGATAAACTACGGCGTATTATGTATAAGTTACCGGTCTATTTCGAAACCCCGACATTCGAAATCTCGACTATATCGGATGTTACATGACACAAAAAGGTTGGAAACCACTGGTCCAGACTATAGGGAAAAAGAATAAAACGATTATTTATGTATAACAAATAATTTTGGCTAGTTTTATTTTAATATATTTTTATTTTGTTCAATATAAATTTATATTATTTGCAATTTTCAAACCGAATCCAGAACGAACGCATTATGCGAGGTATTGCAGTATAGTCAATAATCACTATAAATTAATAATATTGTTATTGTTGGTGCTTATTTATACACCTATTCCTCGTTTTTACACGGTACCTTATTTCCACGTATTGGCTTATACACCGTTAAACAAAGTTTTTCTCTATCTATCGTGTAAAACGAGGGATAGGTGTATTTGAAAATATCATTGGTACAATTGCTTATAGATATTACTTAAATAGTAATAATATTCATCTATATTAGATATAAATTGATATAATTGCTATAATCAATTTGTATTGCGATCTGTGCGATCTGTGCAATAAAAAACAATTTCCAGGCTAATTCCTGAAAGTTGCTATGACACTGTCAATATTAGCATTGTTTATTATACTCTCATAAAAATAACAATGATAAAAAACAATATCATGATAAAACAAATACAGGTAGGCGTTTGTTGGCTTTTCAATTGGAGCGCGATTAAATTTATTGGCCATTAATTAATATTTTTCCACCGAGAACGTGTTTTCCGTAAATTATTATATGCAAACATACACAAACACACATTTATACATATATACATATATACATTGGTCGCTCCCGCAGGGTATTTTTCACTTCCCATTGTGCTTCGCTCTGCCTACGAAATCCAACCACCAACTCGACTACGCACGGAATTTATACTTCTGCAACCTCGTACCACTATAAAAATTATCGCGAAATTTTCGCTTTCCTTCCGCAATTACGCCATAAATATTTGGCCGCGCTCCCTTTTCATATAATTCATTTCGTTTCCGCTCTCACCGTTGATGAAAAAAAAAATAGAACTGATATTGCCATCCCGCAATTATAAGCACCCGGTCATATTTTTTATTAACATAATTTTGCTGTAGTGAAACATAAATATAAACATTATTTTGTTGCAAAAAATTGCCAGATGTTATTAAGAATTATTTTGTATTAACTTTATTATATAATAACACAATCTGACTTTATGAATATTTTTATAATTGTTCTTACTTTAAAATTATTATTTGTTTTTAGTAAAAGAGATAATAACAATATAGTAGAAAATAATACTTACAATGCAATTGAGAATAGTCAAGAAGGTAACATTTAAAGATGCTTTTCAGTTTTTTTTAAGGGTATTTTACGTAATGTATGATTATGATATTTCGTTCACTGTGTCATAAAAATTGAAAATATTTTTATTAAATAACATTTCCTAGTAGTACCCGACCTAAGAAATAAAACACAAAAACATGGAAAAAATATCTTTATTTCTCAACATAGACCCATTTTAGCTCGATATAGCTTCGATACCTTGTTCATAGTAAGAACCATCGAGCTCCTCAAAATAGCAAGCAACCGCAGACTCCACCTCTTCATTGTTGACAAATCTTTTACCACCGTGCCATTTTTTAAGTAATGCAAGGGAGCTAATTCTGCACGAGGAAGCATTTAGAACATTCACTCAATGATTTTGACACCTCTATCATTCAATACTTTATTGTTGTAAACTAAGGAGCAGATTCTACTCTGGGGGAGTCCAGAGTAGAATCTAGCTCGGCATTGATGTTGATTGGACCGAGACTTTTTAAATGAAAGTATTGTATGACAAAATGATGACCATTTTCCATGTTTACAAATTCACTGAGAGCTTAGTTTAGTTTATTCGACTATCTAGTACCATATTTTGTTACTTGCTTTAGAATAGACTTTTTTGATATACGAGACCAAGTCATCAAGCTTTTAACAAAATTGTGAATTTTACAATTACACTTAAATTTCATTAATTATTTATTCTGGACTTCTTAATTAATGTGGTATCCACCTGGATACCTTGATAAACTAAATTCAAATGAAGTCAATTCTGCCAACTAAATCGTTGCAGCGAGAAAATCTCGTGCATAGGTAAAAAAATATGATTGGCTATAGTGCCAATGATTTTTTTTTTCAATTTGCACCCCATGAAAAAAAGAATACTATTACCTTTCACTTGTGCCCTTGCTATTGAAGCGCCTGTTGACGTCGCCACCTTTGCACACTTCGCTCTGGTTGCACACTGAGTGATGTATATGTACAAATGAACAAGTTTCCTAAACGGCAAAATATAATGCTATTAATAATTGAAAAATTATATTATTGGTATTATTCGAGTGTTTCCTGTAATTGCTAATTTCTTGAATATTATAACTATTTAAATCAACTTATTACAAATAGCTAATAGAGGTTAATTTCTTAGATGCATGCACGATGCGTTCTTTCAAATGTCTTTGCATCAATCAACCTTAAATCCAAGAAATATAAATTTGCTACACTATTTTATATATATAAATATTCAAAATTTGTAGTCTTTTTTTGAACGATGCACACTAAATTATTATGAACTATTTTTTTTATTAATTTATGTTTATGTCTGGCCAATAATAATAATAATGATTATTATTATTAATTTAATTGTTATTATATCATTTCAAAACCTTTCATTACTTTTATACTAAGTATGCTAAGTTATATTATAAAACATTCATTATTGAATTTTAAAAACCTTCAAGCGGAATTGGTGAATCATGATGGAAATTAAAAAGTGAAATAATTGAGTCGATCAGTGGGTTTCAGATTTTTATTTTATTGTTTGATAAATAAATTGACTAGAAATAATTTAATGGTGGTAGTATTGGGCTGGAGCGGCGTAAGCTACTTTAGCGACTGGGGCGGTGTAGGCCAATGGAGCGGCAAATTTAGCTACTGGAGCGGCATAAGCCAAAGGGGAAGAGTAAGCAACTGGAGCGGCGGAGTAGGCGACTGGGGCAGCTACCTTAGCGACAACTGGAGCAGCTACTTTAACACCCAAAGGTTCACGGTGGACGATGGCGTTGAATCCGTGGATGGGATCGGCGGTGTATTCTACGGTCCTCTTGAAACCGTCAGCATCGACCAAAGAGTAACTTCCTTGGACGGCATCTCCATTGCGGGTTTCGTGTTGGGACTTGCTGTCACCGGTGAGGGCATCCTGGACATCGTATCCGTAAGAGTACTGTGGGTTTGGGTCATATTCCTCAGCAACCTTGGCTACAACTGGAGCGGCGTATCCCAATTTGGCGACTGGAGTAGCATAACCGAACTTGGCTACTGGGGCGGAGTAACCCAATGGGGAGCTGATGAGACCAGCGTTGGCGGCGGCCAAAAGGGTGGCGAATGTTACGAACTGCAAAGAAAAATGAGAAATTATTATTAATAATGATATTAACAATGTTACACTATTCAATGTACCTTGAAAGCCATTGTTGGAGTAGTGATTTACTTTTGATTCGAAACGAGCGACATCGAACCTTTTATACGCCGAAAATTTGTTGCGCCACAGCAACCGCGCCTACTGGAGCAAGGTCGGGGTTTCGTTGTATAACAAATAACGGTAGTGCAGACTGCAAATTTTTCGAAAATCTTACGGAGGTTTACTTTCACATATTTGCAAATGCCGAAATCATTCTTAAATTATTCAAGATACGGTAATTGTTAATCTTATACAACAATGCTCATACATCAATATTGTAATGAAATAATAATAAATATTAAACATATTTATTAGATAAAATTACATAATTTATTTAAATATAGGTATTTTTACTACTTATATAAACAAATGGTGCATATACTTGCTATTAATATACAATGCTACGCTTCATAATTCATAAATATATTTTACCTTATTGTGGCTACTAATATCCTACACCAAAGATCGGCAACTCGTAGCTCCGGAGAGGCTCTTTTGATGAGAAATGATCGCAGTCCTTAGAGCTATGTTGGAAAATAATTTTCACAAGTAAAATTTTTTTTTTTATGTTATGTAATTTTATTCAGAATCTGTTCATCAATGTGATCATTGAGCAAATTTATGATCGCGGTTGACATTAAATGCATAATCTTTCCCGGTGGATAGTTAATTTTATGATGATTTGATTTCTTAATTTGTTAGTTGGCTGTCGTCTTGTAGGTTAACTTCAGTAGTATATTGATGATCTGCGATTCCACTATATCCTTTGACTGTGAATCTGCTGCTATCCTTCGACTTGGCTGACAAGGTTCATATGCCTCATTTGACTGTCCATCTGTGATGAACGATGGCCCTATTGTTGCACGCACCGAGAGTGTTCACAAAGGGTCTGACTTGACCAGGATTCGAACCATCGCCGGGTAGGGCGACTTAACCATTCGGCTATTAGTCGCCCTACAAGAAAAATAGCTTAACAATAATTTATATATTACATTCGAATGACGTATTCATTTTGTATAGAAACTAAAGTATATGTGATTTGTTTTTATAATATAAAAAAATTACTATAGGAATTACTATAAGAAATTAAGACGTGTTAATATCTTAGTTCTAGAATGTAATTAAACTTATTTTACGTTATTGATCAAGTGAGCAAACATATAAATATTATATTTAAACTATCGTTTTGAAAAAACTAATTCAAAAAAGGAATTTTAGTATCGATATTACACTCACATAATAATACTTTGAAAAGAATAGTAGTAGTGAGATCGCGTGCACCATAAAATCCCTACGCTACTTTCTCAACTTTCGGAAAACTGTTTTAGATGTCTTAAGACCCGNNNAATATAAAGCAGACATGCAATAAATTTAGGAAGGATTTATCGTTGAGAAAAAGTACAATTAAAATAATGAGGCTATTTGTTTAATAACTAAAGTATCGTTCTAAATAATTTAATAGTTATAATAATCGTTAAATGTTATCCGTAAAAATGTATAATAATTGTGGACTATTATACTATATAATGTAATAATTATTGATATTTTCTTATAGATTTTTAATTTTATAGTTACATAATTATTTTTCAGTTATTTCAAAATACTTTCATTGCTTCAAAAATGTTTTAATAATATAATTAAATTATAAATAAGTGTAGAAATTTAATCTCTAGTAAAACAAATTATTTGACATACTTATAGACTTTTTCTTGTGGGGATTCCTTAAAGATAAAGTCTACGCCAGAAAACCGACGACACTGGAAGAATTTAAATTCGCAATTGAGCAAGAATGCACCACAACTCTAAATTAAATGTTTGTTAAAATTTATGAATCAATAGCCCATCATTATTAACAGTGTATTCACCTAAACGGTAATAATTTTGAACATCTGCAGTAGAAGGAAAAGGTATTGTGAATAAAAAGTTATAATCGAACTATGTCTACAATTATTTTACTATTAAAGATATATTTAGAATTAATTAAACTTAGATAAAGCGTCGACAAGGAAAATAAGTGAAAGACATTATTAAAAAATACTGTAACAATATTACTGTTATTGAAACTAAAATTACTTATAATACATTTTTTCTATACATATTTTACTACGGATTGGCATTAATTTAACCTATCAATTAATTCAATTTTATTGAAAGATAATACAAAATTTGCTTTATATAATTTCTATTTATAGAAACTCTTAATATGTACATATATTATGTACTATACCTATATTAATTTAAATTGTAAACTATAATATATTCCAAGTTATATAATAATTATTATTCTAACATACCATACTACATCCTCAAAACAAATAACGTAATATGACAAGAAAATAGAAAACAAATTGATCTGCTACAAAGGGCTATTAATCATAGATCCAAGTTATATAACATTAAACCTAAGTTTTAATATTATTCTAAAAAATCTATAATTTTCTTAAAAATGTCCATTATTTTAAATAATATTTTTAACATCATTTATATTCATTTCAAATTTTATAATAATTATTTCACGATGCAATAATGATAATTCGCTGACAGATGTATTTCAACCTATTTATAAATATTTTATTTCAACATATTCTTTGTTTACCAACTTATAGTTCATTTTATATAGATTTTAATTAATAATGCACGTATGATAACATTGCAGTAAAGGAAACAATTTTAGAAACAGCATGACCAAGATTATTTGAATTCCTTCGGGATTACATAAGCTTTGCACTAAATAGAAGTGCAAAGTGCAGAAGATCTCTTGGCATCCTAAGAATTATACGTTCAATTTACATTGCATCAAAGTTAATTCTCGGTGGACAAGAGAACCCTCGAGAACAAGCGATCCCCGTTGCAGGAAAACCATTCGATTATATGCAAATAAGAAAATACAATGGAAACGCAGAAACTTCTTCGTAGTACAGGGACCTAGGAGATTCGGAGCGGTCACGACATCGTGGCACAAAGGACTTTCGTGATTTGTGGATTGTTGTATTTCGATTACGACTAACACCTCGTATTCAAAGCAATTGTAAAAAAAAGGAAAGTTATATAATCCATATATATAATTGATTTTTTGAACGGTTGAAACCGGACTAATCGAGGACTTCTAAATTGCACAAAGACAGACTTACAATTTTCAAACCTGACTATAGTAAATTCGCACTGATCGAATCAGCACTATGTGGGTTGTTACTATACTAGGTTCGTTTTATTTTTATTTACATATAACAATTTATTCACATGCATTACATAATAACTTTGGAAGTAATTGACACAAATTCTCGCTTTAAAAATTACAACTTTATATGTTCTTAAAAGCGCAGCTTAAAACTTATTGCATGAAATAAAGCTGTAATAACATAACTTTCTGTTGTTACTCTTACACTAACAACGCCATTGTTCTCTTGCGATTTTTAATTACGTTTATTGGACTGTCAAGATTATGCGGCGTAAAGCTTCAAATATTTATAGTATAAACACATCTTTGTTATTTTGTTCACTCAATTTCCGCGCTCCGAACCAAGCTGAAAATCCAATCCCAACACAATGCTGGTCGACATCAATATTATAATTAGATTTTTTAAATTGAATATTGTTATTTTCAATACCTTTATATTGAAAATATTAATCATTTTTTCTGAAATATGTATTTTTTTTTAATATTATATAAAAAAAAATGTAATAACAGCGAGAAAAAGTAAGAGGCGTATTTCAATGGAAGAAATATGGACGCAGAAATGTTGAGACATATTTTTCACATCTCCCTATTATATAATGGAGTCATCCGAATACTTCGGGGATTTTATTTGGCGAACGTCGTGAATCCCTTTAGACGTCGCCTTCGAAAATTAAGATTAATGAAAGGGAGAAAAGTAAAGCAAGCGCGCCTATACGTATAAAAGAAAAACAGGAAGATATTTGCGGTAGGCATAACATACTTACCATGGGAATTTGGTCTCACAAAACTCATTTCCATATGAAAGACTGACGCGTAAGCATCTTCGGTGTATTCCTGCTGCCTCGGAAAGAGCATGTTCAAAAGAACGGCAATTTCGTTTATACACCCGCGCCTTCACTTTGTACCATAAATGATGGCAGAAGTCCTTTCGTGTCTTCTTCGGGAAGCCGAAACGTTGACAGGAAGTCGCATAAAATGGGTATGACACTGCGGTGGAAACAATGTCGTACTAAATAGAAAAGTAAAAACGTTAAGACCCGTACTTTGTGTCCTTTGACCTGTTATCAATCGAAAAATTAAACGCAAAAAACATAGCAAACTCAATATTCCAAATAACGGAGCCGAAGGACTAAAAGGACAAAGGCATACTAAAATTCTTAGATTATTAAACTGTTCTTTATGAAAAAGATAACAAATCTTATCTTATATTACTCACTAAAAACAATAAAAATATTTTTTTTTTATATTGTACAAAGACTATTTTTGTTGTAAATTGTTAGTAAATTATTTGTAATATTTTCTAATAAATATTATTTTCTACTTTCTCAATATTAATTACTACAATATTTGATTATTTCAATTAATAATAAGGACTATTAGCTGATAGCATTTTTGTCAAAGTTAAGAACAATTAAAATGTTTAAATAAAGAAATAATTAGCATCAACATTGTAACTAACTATCAATTATTTTATTGTATAAAATTATAAACTAAATGAGTTTAGAAAAATTATAGTTTTTTAAAACAATACAAATCCTCAACTCAACTAAAGATTAAAAAAACATGACCAAATATTAAAGGATAAATTTTTTAAAATAATAATTAATTTTTGTTTTAAGTATTTCTTAGAGCAATTATAGTTGCACATGTACAGTCATAACCCGGTTAACTTTACATCTGCTAACGAAGTCCGCAATTTCAAGCAAAATTTAATATTATAAATATTCAAATTTATATTCCCGATAACCAACTGATAAAATATGGTCAGAAGTTAGTACAATATAACATCTGATAAAATTAGAAATAAACTTATGTAAGTGGATCAATTAATAGGT